CCTACACAGGTTATTTATCATGGGTTATTTTATGTATAATCTAATTTTCTGTACTGTGTTACAGTATAGTCAATAGTGTACGTAGATTATCTCCAACACAAAATACAAATGACAACTACACTTGACAAATTTAATGAATATTTTAATTCTTATTGGTTAATTTATGATTCTATTTTTAAGTCCTATCTATTTTCCGAATAAAGTTGTAAGCTTTGAAATGTAAGGATGAAAAAAATTCAATTACATCTTTTGTCAATTTTGATATTAAATAATAAAGACTTAAAATTTAATGCGAAATTGGCATTGTATCAATGCCATTGTACTGGAGATGCTGTTAAGGAGGTGATTATCTGATTTTTCAAAAGCAGCCTATGTGCATAAAACTAGCCATTGTCCTTGAATTTCTCCACAAAATAACCAACAAATCATTGAAGCAGAACATGAAGATTAAGGTTGTAGTATTAGACCTAGTTCACTAATCACTAACAATGCCAATACCTACAATGAGAACACTATACATGTCTCGGGTTAACCTCTTTCCTAACATTTTCAACATAAATGACTAAGCCCAACTGTCCAAAACGGCAAAAACTACCTCATTTTGCATGTCAAAACCACCCACAGACAAAAATACCAAGGTGACCACATTAATGTGACGAACTCTTCTTCATCAGTAGTCTCGGTAGAGGCATCACTTTGCATTGTCCTCTGGAGATGCCTTATCCGTCTTACTTCGCTTCTTCTTTGAATTTGGAGAAGCTTTACCTGGTCTAGATGATAAATACTTGAGCCTGTAACTGAGAAGTGAAGGCCCAAATGTACTGTATTTCCCTGCACTACTGAAAGCTGTTTCGGCATCAGAACGTCTCTTGAAGACCACTTTGGCGCGGCTGCTCTTCTTGAAGACTTCGGTCTCCGATTCATTCAGAGGCCCATAACGGCTAAATATCTTGTTGAGGATAGTTTCTGAAGGAACAGAATCGAAGTCTGTGAAGTTCAAAATCAGTGCTGTTGGAGAGAGATCTTCCTTGGAACTCCCAGTCGAGGGGTCGGTCGCCAGCTTCTCTGCTTCCGTTTCAAGATTCTCACTATAAGTTTTCTGTTCAGAATCCAATCCAAGGGTTGTTTGCGTTATTTCCTCTTTGCTTGTCTCAAGTCGAACCTCGCCCATTTCATTTTGATCTTCGGGAACGCTTCGACCTATTCTTTCTGACCAGTATGACTCATTCACTGAACCAAGCTGATTAGGTAGATCATTCATTCCAGACATGTTTGATTTTCTTCCATTCTTGGTTAGTTCTTTTCCGGTGTTACCACCAAACAAGTTTGCCAACGATTCCTCATTTTCTTCCAAAGTGGGTAGGTCCAAGGAAACTGTATCCCTGAACTCCGAGAAGAAGGTATTCACAGAAGAGTTGTTCACCCCCATGGGATCTTTGGCAGCCAAACAGAGCTGTAAAAGCATCTCGTCAGGAGAATGCTCTCTTTCTAGCGACTTCCCAGCTTTTGATTCCTTAGAAATAGTTTTCTCTTTGCTTTTAGTTTGAGTTAGAGAACCACTTCCATTCTTGAGTATTGGACTCGACCCATTTAATTGGCTCGCAACCCTTCGGATGCTATCTCCTACTCTAAAAGTCTGCTTGCTCTGCAGAGGCTTATTATCAACCTCCACAGCCATACTCTTCGTTTCTTTCACCGGGGTGCCATCAGATGTGGCATCACCTGCTTTACGTTTCTTACTGGCAGCTTTGCCTCCTGAACCATTTTCACTGGTTGAAGTTTTCATGCGTTTCTCAGCCATCAAATCCAACAAGCTTTTCTCCTTTTTACTTGAACATGTAATATTCCCATAGGTAAGCTTACGCTTACGGGAAGAACAATCTTGAATCATCGATTTTTCTTTTTTCTGAGAGACTGATCCACCATCATCCTTGTGTTTTTTATCCACAGCCACCCTCGCTTCATCGCAGTGCTTCTTCTCAGTTGACAGCAAAAAGTCAGCATCATTCTCCAAGATCCCACCAAGCATATCGAACTCGGGAAGCTGAGAGTAGCCCTTAAATCGATAGAAGGCCAATAACCGCGACCTTGCCAAAGCAAGTTCTAGACTATCATGAGTTACATCATATGGGACTTGAGCTAGTTCTTTAATATATCCCACAAGCTTACTAGGTTCAAAGCAAGCGACAGTTAAAGAACTATCTCCACCGTCTCTTCTGCTCAACTCTTCTTGGATTCCAGCATTAACAATGATCTGAGTCTTAATCTTGGCAAACACTTCTTCAGACAGGCAGGAACAAGCCAGCCCAAACTCTACCCTTCTCGAGACCTCCTCCAAAGCACAAGCAATTGCCTGGTGGAAATCCTGAGTGTTGCTATGCTTCTCCATTTGGGCAAAGTTCTCTAAAAAGGGTTTCACCATTGACGCTTCATTCCACGCAAATGTATTATCCCCGAAATATGCTATCAGGTAAGCGTCTCTTTTGGAATACTTCTTTGCCTTTCGTGATGCAGCCTTAGGATCACAAACCTGCCCAGGCCACCATGGATGGCTCCTCACTTTGCCCCACACCAAATCACCAACACCCAACTCGCGTTTTGAGGACGACTTCGAATTCAAATCAATCACAATATTAAATGAATCAGTTTCATTGCCATTACTCCTGGGAACTCCCGTTTCCTTGGTCTCTGCCTCTAAATGGACTTCCAATACCCCATTCTGTAACCCATCAGAAGGCGCAGGCCCACATTCAGCGCTGATTTTGGAGTCTCCCAGGTCTAAAGACTCGTCCAAATCAAGTTTCTCTTCCACTTCTGCGGTCGGGAGATCATCTTTTAACTCCCTTATAGATTCTGCACTCTCCATTGTCTTGGGCTCCACAGCCTCAAGACTTTCGGAATGGCTAGAATTGCCAACATTCGAGCTCACATTCACCGCAGAAGAAACCCCCCTATCCAAACTTTCGACCTTTTCCACCTCACCAATAGCTTTTTCCTTTTCAACATCAAAAGAAACTCCCTCTTCTTTGTCCTTTCCCAGCAAGTCTACTTCTCCTTTACACTTTTCCATATCCTGTTCACCCTCTAAACTCCTCAAAAGATCTTCATTTACCCTCAAAGGCTCATCTTTCTCATTACATTCCTCAGATTCCAAAACCTTTGAAGAAAGATCTTCCAATTCACCACCATTAACTACTTTATCTAAACCTTCACTTCCCAAATCCTCCTTTTTACTTTCCCCTTCTAAAACCCTAACCTTGTTTTCTTCTTTTACTTCCACCGAAAAACCAGCCATGGAGAATTTTCCCAGACCATTCAAACGGTTCGCCTCCGCCACAGCGGCTTCGTTGTCCGGTTCACTCAAAACGACGTCGGAGTTGAGGTCAATACGCTCGGATTCCGCAGACATTAGGAAACCCTAGAAAGAAAGAAAAAGGAAAATTTGCAGAAGAAAATTCTATCACCTTTGTATTCGCCATAAAAAAAGCCCTAAAAATGGAAAATGAAAACTCCATGCTTGAAGAGAGAAAAGAAACATAAAGAAAAAACACAAATAAAGAAAGAATAAAAATACCTCTTTAATGATTCTCCTTTTCCTTCTCCAAACTTCTTCAATGCAAGAGAAAATAAAAACCAAATTTTTTTAGGGTTTCTTTGGACATCACAGAGAAGAAGAAGAAGAAGAAGAAAGAGACACAAGTTTTGATTTTGTACCAGAAAGTCATGGAAAAGTGGTATTTTTCTTACTCGTTTCAAAGGCTCTCAGTGGACACGTGTTGGATATCAACGGGTTGATGATTGTACACAGATGGACGGCTATGATTTGATAGTCCTTTTTTTTTTTGAGTAACGGAGAAAAACTTGTCTTAACCCCCTGAACTTTTAGCCGAATGCCACTTAACCCCTGAAACTAATTTTTTTGACACTAGGAAGCAGATAAGTAAGGGAATTCAAGTTTTTGGGATTTAAAGGGGCACTAGGAGTAAGCAATAAATATGGAAGGAAATTTGAGTTTGAGATTAATTTGTTTCCAAAGAGAGATGTAAAGCGAACTAACTTAAACGAAATGATAAAATTTACCTCATTTGTCTTTAAAAGATGTTAGTTTTAATAAAAACCTGTTTTGGTAAGTAAAAGACGATAAACTGTGAATGAATTCGAATATTTTATTTATTGTCTCGTGTCTGACTCTTTATTTATTTGATTTGTATTTGACACGTCATTTAAATTATGAATCGTTCATCTTATTTATTTTTTTTTGCTTATCTTTGAACATCATTTGTTGTTATCAAGATGATGTCTGAAAAAATAATTGAGTTTGCGAAGAGTAAGACAAAAAAATGGACAATCATTTGTGTTGGATGCAAATTTCAAGGGTTAAGTGTCAATAGTAATTAATTTGGAGGTGGAGAGATTATTAAGGTATAGTTCAGGGGCTTAAGTGTATTTTTCTTCTTTTTTCTTTTTTACGAAAGAATTGTGTATGATACTCCACCATGACGTGACCTTCATTTATTTATTTTCCTCTTCTTTTCTCCCGCCAAAATTTGGCGACCGGATTTTCAAAGGACGGAATCGCCGGAGCTTTATCGGCGATGTACGGATCTCCGAGAAATACAACGGAGACGGAGTACGGACTCAGTTATGGAGGTGACCTTGGGGAGGTCTTGTCCAAGTACTTCTCTCAGTTTGACATCGGCGACGAAAGAGCTTGCTTCAAGCTCGTCTCGCTTCTCGTTTGCTTCTTTTCGTCGCCGCTAGGGGATGATATTCTCTCTCAGGTCTCTCTCTCTCTCTCTCTGAATTCTGAGATTGATGGAGAAACTCTGCGATTTAGGATTTTGCAATTTTGTTGGTGAATTGAACAGGTGAAAGACAATAACGGGATCTTCATTTTCTCAGTCGATTTTCAGCGATTTCGAAAAGAATGTGATGTCCATGAATTTTACGAGTTATTGGAGGAAAAACCAAAAATTGCTCTTTCATGCCTCAGTGCTGCAGTTCACAAGGTACTAGGCAACTGGTGGTTTTTTTTTTTTTTTTTTTTTTTTTTTTTTTTTTTTTTTTTGTTGTTTTGTAGAAATGTTGAAGAAAGCTTTAAAATTTTATAGTCACTGAGAAAGGAAAATCCACAAGGTTTAAGATTATTTATTTATTTATTTTGCTTCTGTGCATTTTTTTTTCCTTCTAGGCAATTAAACATAATAAACTTTTTTCTTTTTTATTCTTATTTTAGCTGTATGGATTGAAATGTCGAAGAAATTTCAAATTTTGTAGAGAATTATAGAGAAAGGAAAACCCCCAAAAGTCTAAAACTTTATGGTTCTTTCTTTTTGGCAATGACTAGCAATGAGTGTGTGTGTGTGTGTGTCTGATAAGCAATGGTTAATGCAATGGGAAGCAGGTCTTATTGACTAAATGGGAGAAGTACCATATGGACGATGATACAAAAGTCAATATCCGTTTGCATAATTACCCCGAATCCATGATTGCCTTGAAGAACCTAAAAGCTGCATACATTGGTAATTTTCATATAGCTGGTCTTGTCCCTCTTGAAATTCTACGCCTATGAATGCAGGGTAAATTTGTGATATTCTCTGTGGGTAATTAATTTCTGGTGGTATCATTTGTTTGTGGGACAGACAAGCTTGTATCTGTCCGTGGTTCTGTTGTAAAAGTTAGCACTGTCAGGCCTCTAGTGGTACAAATGAGTTTTGATTGTGCCAAGTGTAAGACAAGCATTTCAAGAATATTTCCAGATGGGAAATTCTCACCACCAGCAACCTGCGATTTGAATGGATGCAAGAGCAAAATTTTTGTTCCCATTCGATCTACTGCACAGATGATAGATTTTCAAAAAATAAGGTCAGCCCATTGCTTTGAAATTTATCATTGGCTCACCTTTTTTTTTCAATAACTTGAAAAGCTGTGGCTCACTATCATCATCATCATCATCATCACCATCATCATCAGCATCACCATCATCACCATCATCATAGTTATTAGTACTTCACTATGATCACCATGTATTATTACTTTTAAGTGTTTTAATTTTGGATGTCACTGCAGAATACAGGAACTGCTAAAGCCTGAAGATCATGAAGAGGGTCGAGTTCCTCGAACTGTGGAATGTGAATTGTCTGAAGATCTTGTTGATGCTTGCATCCCTGGAGATGTGGTGACTGTTACTGGAATTATAAGAGTAATCAATAATTACATGGATATCGGAGGAGGTAAGCGGATAGAGCTGACACTACATTTAACTTTCTCCATCAACATCCTACATGGACATGGATTGTGGTTAATTTTCTTTGGCAGATAACAATGTCTTTGTCCTGATGCTGATTTTTCCTGTCTTTCCTTTACAATTTTCCATCAAAAGTGCAACTTTGATCAAAATGTTCCCTTTCAGGGAAATCAAAAAGCAAAAATCAAGGATTCTACTATCTGTATCTGGAAGCATTTTCGATTAAAAACTCCAAATCGAACTCTTCATCTGAGGATTCCGAAGATTCTAATTGTAAAGCAAGGCCAACAGAACTTTTTGACTTATTCTCATTTTCTTCAAGAGATTTGGAATTTGTTGTGAAGTTCTCAGAGGAACACGGTACAGACACGTTCCGGCAACTAGTTCAATCAATATGTCCATCTATCTATGGTCATGAGCTTGTTAAAGGTGACCTTACATGTTCTTGTTAAAATGTAGGAATTAATAATGCATGGTATTACTAACTTATTGCCTCTTTATAGCGGGAATAACATTAGCACTGTTTGGAGGCGTAAGAAAGTATTCAAATGATGGCAACAAGGTTCCTGTTAGAGGAGACATTCATGTCATAATTGTTGGTATGTCGAACCCTTCCTTGCTTGTTTAATTGAAGTAAACCCAGACAGTTATTGTAAATGATTATTGAGTTTATTATTGTTAATATTAGTATTATTATCTTTCTTTAACATTCTACATGAATTATAGTTTTAAAACGTGATTTGTAGAAACTAAGGAGAAAAAAGGGAAATAATTTTTATGCGATTACCTGTCATTCCTCTAGGTGATCCTGGACTGGGAAAGAGCCAACTCCTGCAAGCAGCAGCAGCTATTTCTCCAAGAGGCCTTTATGTGTGTGGTAATGCAACTAGAGCTGGCCTCACTGTAGCAGTTGTGAAGGATCCTATGACAGGTGACTATGCTTTTGAAGCCGGTAAGTTTGTTTCTTTTTTTTTATTGTGTTTACTGTGCATGTATCTTTTATTTATGATCCAGAACTCACGGTTCATTGGCAAAAAAGTTAACCAGTTTTAAAACGGATTGTGAAGGATTATTGTCCAAAAGAATCATTATGCACTGGGAGTTCCTTTGATCAAAATGGTGTTTAATGAAAGAAGGTTCCTTTATTGCCAATCACTTGGAAATTCGAAGTGTTCTGGCTAATATCTGCTTTAAAACGTTCTCTGGTAACTTTTCTAATAGTCTCCACATTCAACAATCAAATTCTCCCATAGGTGCGATGGTACTTGCAGACAGTGGATTGTGCTGTATTGATGAGTTTGATAAAATGTCTTCAGAGCATCAGGTTTGTCCATCAGTGCAAGGTCATTAGCATTTGGCCTCTGAGCAGTAAAGAGTTGGTCTAACTCAATTTTCATTAGTACAGGCGTTACTTGAAGCAATGGAACAGCAGTGTGTCTCGATAGCAAAAGCTGGACTAGTGGCAAGTTTATCAGCACGTACCTCTGTCTTAGCAGCAGCAAACCCCGTTGGTGGTCATTATAAGTAATCTTACCTCTCAGCATCAATTTGTCGGTTGAAGTATGATGCCTGTTGCAATATGCTTCTATTTGATAATTGATATATAGCTTTACAAGTATTTGATTATCTCCGAATTGCAGCCGTGCAAAAACAGTGAATGAAAATCTGAAAATCAGCGCCGCGCTGCTGTCGCGATTTGATTTGGTTTTCATATTGCTAGACAAACCTGATGAGCTTCTGGATAAGCGAGTCTCAGAGCACATTATGTCAGTAAGTTATCCTTTCAAAGCCATGGAGGCTCGTGGTACTTTTGAGATGATTGATGCTTCAAGATATTTTTCCTTTGTTCGATGGGTTACTGAAGGGTGTGAAAAACCTGATTGTCTACTATGCAGCTTCATTCTGGGTTTGGAGAGCATCCACCAGCGGCCAAAAAACCACGAAGAGGAGGTACTCCTTTTTCTACACATTAATCCTTTCAACCAAGTCTCGTATATTAGTTGGGTTGGTTAGTAAGTCTCATTACAGAGTGCCTAATACAGTTCTGCTTAAAGAAGATTGTCTCCTAAGACGTGTTCCTTATAAAATGCAGCATCACAGAATGCCGAAGGCATAGATATGAAGGTAGAAGGCTGTTCTCTGGTTTCAAGGTTGAGATTAGACCCAAAGAAGGATGGTGATTTTGCTCCATTACCAGTTCAGCTTCTCCGCAAATATATTGCATATGCAAGAACTTTTGTCTTTCCCAGGTGATTTTGTTTTGCCTCTACCTCCACAATTACCATAGATATTTGCTTTTGCAAGTTGTAATTTAATTATTTTGTGTCCTTTGGACTTATTGTTTTCTTTCATAATTGCCCTTCTATTGGTCATTTTCATATTTGGGTTAATTAGGATGTCAAAGCTAGCAGCCGAAATTCTACAGAAGTTTTATTTGCAACTTAGAGACCGTTCAACATCAGCTGATGGCACGCCAATAACAGCAAGACAACTTGAGAGTCTGGTGAGGCTCGCAGAAGCTAGAGCTCGGCTAGACTTAAGAGAAGAAATAACAGTCCAAGACGCAATGGTTAGTTCTATTTTATTGTTTAGCCAATGCTGCTTGCTCACTCCCTTCAAGATACAAGAAGCAAAAAGGTTTGGTCATACGATTTTGGAGCATTCACAATGTCTATTTTGCAGGATGTAGTTGAAATTATGAGAGAATCTCTATACGATAAGTATGTCGACGAGCATGGTTTTGTGGACTTCGGTCGGAGTGGAGGTATGAGTCAACAGAAAGAAGCAAAAAGGTTTTTAAGCGCCCTCAACAAGCAATCAGAGTTACAGCAGAAAGATTGTTTCACGATTTCTGTACGTGCACTTGCTTTCCTTCTCCTTGTCAATCTTAGTACAGATTTTTGACGATTTGGCCGCCTTAATTCATTTTCATCGAGTGAGATTTTGTGTTTCAGGAAATATACAGTTTGGCTGATCGGATTGAACTAAGAGTTCCTGACCTCGATACATTCGTTGATAACTTAAACAGTGTTGGTTATCTACTCAAGAAAGGGCCAAAGACATATCAGGTATAGTGACCGTAGAGAGCCCAGACACAACCTTATGCATGCAGCATGCCATTTGAAAAAAAAATAATAATAATAACAATAAATAAATAATTTTAAAAAAAAATGCCAATCTATGAGAACTTAAGTGAGCACGGATTCTATAAATTAAAATAAAAATGTAAATGAATCATGGTTTTCATTATAGTTTGCCAACTTTTCATGCAGGTGCTTTCATCATCTTAGTCACGCAGTCAATCATCAAGGTCAAGGAGCCAAAGTTAGTGCACCATTATTGGAAAGCAGTACATTTTGCCAACTTTTTATTGCAGCCTTTTCTTTGATTGCTTTGAGACAGCAATAGCGTTCTCGACAAAATATAAAACTATACTCTATATTATGTACTCTATCCCAGAGAAAAAAAAAATTTGTGCTACTCGACCAATTAAAGGAAATCAAGTTTCTTTAAGATTTTTGTATGTTGCCCAATCAATTAAAGGTTTTTAAATAACAGTGTTAATGTAAATGTACAACAACTCTTATTCTCGATGGTGATATAGGAGGGGAACCTTTTTAAAAAAAAAAAAAAATTCCTTTAGTATAGTATACAAATGGCAAGTTCAAGAGTTATACAGAATCAGAAAAGTAATCATTTCCATCTATAGGTTCTAACCTCCATTCACTCCCATAATAAGAATTAGGCAAACCCAACCAAAACTTGAAAGCCTCAGCAGCTCTCTTTTTCTCTCTCCTCCTATCTTGCCTGGCTTGTGAGGCGTGCTTGCTGGTGAACATCCTTGAGTGCATCTCCACATAAATTCGAGTGTACTTGGTCTTATTTGGAGGTATGCCATTCTCTTCCATACAAGCCACAATTTCCAAAGCTTTCTTGAAGAATGCAGCTCTAACACAGATATCAGCCAGTGTATCTAACAACCCTTCGTCTGGTTTCAGCAGCGGTGGTGGCGGAGTGGAAGAAGAATCGGGATTTTCTTCTCCTTCCTTTTTCATGCCGCCGCACCTCTCCTTCACTTCATTCCAAAGCAGAAGTGCCTCTCCTGGTTTTCTAGCCACTGCAATTCCATTAGCCAGGCTGCCATAGGTGGCAACATTGGGGTGAAAGCCATTCTCTTTCATTCTCTGAACTATCTTCTTAGCTTCTTCCACTAACCCGAGTTTGCAATATCCTTCCACCAACATGTTCCACGCGATGATATCAGCCTTCACCCGAGGGTCATCGAGCATTTCATCGAATACCTTGTGAGCCAGCTTTGGCTGACCTGACAAGGCAAAAGCTTTCATCAAAGTGGTGTAGCTGATCTTGGTAGGGGCAATTCCTTTCGCCCTCATTTCGTTGAAGAACGTGAGAGCCCCGGCGCTGTCATCGACCAGAATACACCCATCAATCAAGATGTTGTAGGAGACTACATCAGGTTCAATCCCTGCATCTTCAGCCATCTCCTTAAGCAGCTCCTTCGCCTTATCTATCTGCAACTGCTTGCAGTAACCCTTGAGAAGTATATTGTAAGTAATCCGATTCGCGGGCACGCGGATTCTCGTCATCTCAGCGAACACTTGACGAGCTCTATCCATTGACCCAGAATTCACAAACGCAGAAACCACAGTTGTGTATGACACATGGTCAGGATGGCTGGCACTGTCCTCTTGGTGCCTCATTGCCTCTAGCATCCGAACCGTGTCGGTAACCCGCCCAGCCTTCATGTAACCCTTCATGAGAGTTGTGTAAATTCTAGAGTCCGGAGCATAAGCTTTAGGCAGCAACTGCGGCTGCTCCGAATCACTCGCTTTCACCAAATTAGGAAGCAACCTCTCAAAAACATCCTGCTCGTTTCGATTCGAATCTTCCACATTCGAGCCCCTCAGAATCTCGCAAAGGTCCCTCCTTTCTTCTCGCATTGCTTGAACCATTCTCTCCGCGGTCTCCAAATCCCCAAACCCCACATACGCCGCGACGAGCGAATGCATCGTCGTCATACAAAACGGAATTTCCTCCTCGAGAATCCTCTCCAACACAAACACAAGCAAGTCCTTCCTTCCAGCTCTAGTACAAAGCTTGATCATAACATTGTAACTCAACACATCAGGCCCACAGCCCCATTCGGGCATTTCATCAAACAGTTTCAAGAACATCCTGGTATCCCCACAATTAGCACAGGCATTGAGAACAGCATTGAAAGCCCCCGTGTCGGGCCTTGAATCCGCCGCCAGTTCCCCGTTGGCGAATTGGCGCACCCGCCGCGTCACCGAGCGGAACATCTTCAGCGCCTCGGCTGGCCCACACTCATCCCCGGAGGCTGCGAGGCGGCTGGCAACGGCACTCCATGACTTGACATGAGGGAGGTACCCGGACCGGAGCATGGACTTGATCACCGAAGCCGCATACCGGGTTTGGCCCGCCTTGGCGGCCGCCACGGCAAGGAGGCCGAGGGAGTTGGCGTCGAGGCGGGCGAGCTGGCGCTCATTGCGGAGGCGCGTGAGGATGGACTGGGCGCGCGTGAGGGAAACATGGGTGTTCTGGTAAGATAATTGGGAGACCAATCTGCTAAGGCAAGTGGAGCTGGGGAGATGGGAGGAGTGGGTGTAGGCCAACCAGGCTTCCTCGGTCTTTCTCTGGCGGAGGAGATAGAGGAGGGCTTGGTCTTGGGAAATCGGTTGTTTGGTGGAGGAGAGAGAGAGATTGGTGTTGGTGTTGGAGTTCGTGGAGGCTTGAATACGAGATTGGCGAGTTTTTTTGGTGATGGAAAAGGTTGGGAGAGAGAGAAGGTTGGATAATGGAAATGGGTTTGAAGTTGATGGTGGTGATGGTGATGGTGGGCTTAAGGGTGATGGTGATGACGGTGGTGGTTTGGCGTTCATGGCTGCTCCATGGAACTCTAGAGAGAGAGAGAGAGAGAGAGAGAGAGAGAGAAGTTTGAATTTTTGAGAGAGAATTTGAAGAAGAAGAAGATGATGATGATAATGAGAGTGGGATTAGTGAGTGGAAGTGAGAAGTACTACGTCGAGTATATTCTATCCTCTTGTTTGTGACGACCTTACTGATTGGGGTTTATGGTTACAGTTTGAAGTAGTTATTAGTTATGGTTCCACTTTATTCCCTTACCGCCGTTTAGGATGCAATAATATAATCTTAAAGGCATAAATAGAAATTTTATATTGGTATAAAAATTGTAAATTTTTTTTTCCTTTATATTTTTGAAAAAGTGAATCTTATTAAATTCATTTTATTTAAAAACCGTTGAATTTATTGATTTAAATATTTAATTTGAGTTAAAATATAATTTTATATGAAAATTTTTATTATAATAAAAAAATTAAATGTGATTATTTATAAAAAAATTTTACTATAATAAAATTTAAATTTTATATTTAAATAAAAAATTCATCATTTTAAGATAATATCAAACTCACCTAACCTATTGTTATTCATTTTCATAAGAATCTCAGTACCAAGGAAAGTAATTAAAAACAACACTGTCAAATCAAATAAACACCAATACACATTAGTAACTGCTCCCCTTCCCGACCACTGCACTACCCCACCACCAACGCTACAGATCCGGCCGTTGCAGCCATCGTCGCAGCCCATCACAACTGGAGCTTGTATTTTCTTCTTCTCAGTTTTTTTTTTTCTATTAAATTTTCAAATTTATTATCATGTATTTTTTCATAATATTTTAAAAAATCCAATAATAGTATTAATCTTCTAAGTTATTAAAATGGTAATAATAGTATTTAATTATTTTTAAAATTATTAATTTTATAAGAAGGATTATATTACTATGTATAACCAAATATATTAAAATGATATTTCTAAGAATCAATTAAAAAAATTTCATGTCTAACCAAATATGATAATGCATGTTTCCTAAGAACCATGCCTACTGATTACTATATATCAAACGCTTCTTTAGTCAAGGCCAATGGTTAATTACCCTAAAAATCTATATAAAAGACAAAATTTTGGCCGATTATTGGTTATCAAGAAAATTGAAGATTTTTTTTAAAGAAAAAGAAATAACCTCCCCTTGCACAAAAATATTAATTGGTAGTAAAATAATTAAATAGCAAGATTTGAAATATATATTAAGATTTGAAATATATTTGAAATAAATAACATAAGTAGCAAAGTTACTAGACAAAAAATAATGATAAATAAATTTACCTAGTAAATTTAAGATTTACTTCATCCTCCTAATTATTTATAGGCCAACTATTTCCTCATTTTCTATTCTTTTCTCTCTCATCTGAATCAGCCAAGTAGTCCAGTCCAATATTCTTAAAAGTCTCTTCTCAAAATGATGCTTCATAATATGAACAAGAATTTCTTTTTCTGTTCATGTCTTATTTGCTCATTTATTTATGCTCTGTTTGTTCCGTTTATTTTGAGAATTTTAATCTGATTTAAAATCATAATTTTTAATTCGTTACAGTATTTTTTTACACAAAAAATTAAAATCACGAACTATGATTCTAAACCCATAAACCAAACGTCACTTTTCAATTGAATTCATGGTTAAATACAACTGATTTTGTTTAGTTTTTAATAAGTACTGCAACAATATACTAGCACACGAGCTACATTTTTTTTTCTTTTGAGATATATAATTACAAGTCATGTAAACCTTTGGGCGCCTAGTTTTGCAAATTGACATTCAAATAAAATCGACCTTAATTCTTGTTCTTAAATATAATAGCAAATAGCAAATGGAAATAGCACATTCCAAACTTGATTGGAAACTGCTTTCCATGCTGTGATAAAAAGATCCCTGTACATCTTTCTGCACAAAAAAAAAAAAAAAAAAAAAAAAACTGCAAACCATCTATACTACTCTACTAGACTTTCCCTATACAGCTCCCAAAGCATAAAACTAAATCAAACTAAAAACCTGTATACACATTGACCTGATATTTACCAATATTTCAACCAACCAAACCAGTTATAGTCAGTGAAGAAAGGAGAGCCTCCCCTTGTTCCCGCGCCAATCGGCTCCCTTTTCGGTTCGTCACCAGCTACCATTTTTTTCTTTTTAATCTACACCACCAGCAAATCAGAGCCTAATCTAATACTTACAAATTCACAGTTTTGAGTTTGAGACAAGATTTGCCTAGGAGAGATGGAATGACCCTTGCCCTTCTGTTATAGCATACAAGAGCTTCTCTTTCATCGTCTCCTGTAAAGAAAATGGAAAATTTTGTTAGTGTCGTCGAAAACATTTTGATAAGGAGCAAATTATATAGATGTTAGGAATTCAAAATATATATTATTTACTAGGTTGAATTTATCTTATTATTATGTTTGATTTCTCTATAGTAGTGATTGTATTTTCAATTCGGTTTTGGTCGATGGATGAATATTAACATTTCATATTTCACCCATCTTTAGTTCACGCCCTCTCTCTAAAATTCTGTGTTTCTTTCCCTTTGTCACTCTATTTTCTCTTGCTTTTTATTTCTGTCTTAATTCTATCTCCTTTCTCTTGGTTAGAGTTGGACATCACGTTTGTTCTATTGTTTCTTCAAGGAGTTTGTATAAGAGTACACAAAGGAGTAGAAAGGCGAGAAGTGTCACTTTTGATGAGTAGGGCGGCAGTTTAAGGTAATTGGCACATGTCATAACACTCGGGAGGTCCGCGTCTACCCAACCGCTGCAATGCTGTTAGATGTACACACCATACGCAAGACAGTGAGATGATCAGATGATGTGTAAACAAACTAGAAGAGAAAAAGGAGGAAAAAGAAAAAAATTCAAGGAATGGAATGAAATGCCATGTACTATTTCTAACCTTTCGGACAATAGTTAACTTTGGATTAAGAGACGCCAAACCTCCTGGAGGTAAGCGAGGTGCCCCAGTCACAAACTGTAAGAATGCTCGTCGTTCTTTGTTGTCAAACTCTTGTATGATTTCCAGCAACTGAAATTTCCAAAATGGATTTTTTAAAATTTTGAGAGGATGCAAGTGAAACATACAATGAAATGTAAATAAGTGAATATAAGGCACGAGAAGACTTACATTAACAACAGGTGGACTGCTAGCAGTGTATCCATGATCGAACTTGACATGATCAACGAGCTCATCAACCTATTATAAAGAAAACAAGGGGGAAAAAATCTAAGATTTATTGATGTAAACGCCTCATTGCAATTTAATAAATTAAGGTGACCAATAACGTACAGGCCATGAGTCATGTTCTCCACATAGTAAGCGTTCCAATTCTTCTTCAGTGAAGATCTGAAGCCGCTCGATAGGGAAAACCTGAAGGAAAAAAAAAAAACGCACAGAAATTATTCATCAAAACGATGAACAGAATTTATTGCAAGTAAAGCAGTTATTTTCTGTTCATGGGAAATGGAAGTTTGGAGATATTAAAATGCAGCAAAGAAAGATGGTACTAGATTTTTCTAAAAAGAAAAGAAAAAAACACTGAGTGAACATTGTATTTTTGGATTCACAAAGGTAGTTCTGTTTTTTTTTTTTTTTTTCCTTTGTCTTTTTCTTTTTGGCAGGTTCAATAGTTAAAGGTCAAGGATCGGAGTAATTTACAATTCACTCCACTTTGATAAAGAAATTTTGCAAATGGGCATATACCTGGTTAAATCCTGATTTGAATGCTTCGACTTGTCTGGAGATTCCAGCACTTACAGTTGCATCTACGATAAGTGAAATATAGTCCTCCAAGTTTCTCATAGTTACCTAGGGAAACACAGACGCATTGAAGGTTTTGCTTTACCAAATTAATATTGACAAAGACGAAACTGAGGGAACCCTTACCATCTCATAATCAGGACCGGAAGCAAGAAGAAAATCAGGATAGCCAGGAAGCGTAAAATCAAGGAAAAGATCCTCGATTCTGGTATCCCGAAAGCATGAGTCAACTTTAAATGAGGGTATTTCTCGCCCAGTAGATTCCAGAAATAGTTTTCTATCTGCAAGAGCCTTAAACTCTAGCAAAGTCCTACCAAGCTCAGGATCAAATGACAGGATGTCAAACAGACCAAGTTTCTACAGAACAAAAATTAATTAATAAATAAAAGCAGATTGATAAAACTAGCATTAAAAATAAACACAGAGTTTGCACATAAGCAGATTGAAGAGTTAATAAATAGCTAATTACCTGCCCAAGAATAAGTTTGTAGAACTCTTTCGAGAAGTGCAGATCCAAGACCCTTCCATCTTGAAGAGCCTTTGCTACAATTTGACCCAGAAGGACAAACTTTTTACTAACTTCACTAAACTCAATCCCATTAGATGTATCTGTTAAAGATGACCACGGGCGAGGAAACAGACCCAAAGTACACGTTACAAACTTTGTACTCTCAGGACACAGGTTTGCATTAGAGGTGAAAGATCCATGATCCTCTCTCCACAGGCCCAGGCCAGCCTTCTGAAATTCATGACTAACCAGGGTATAGAATTCAAGTGTGGGACCAAGACCTGTACCAACTTCTTCATTATATTCCACCTCAAGAGGTACCTTATGGCAGGCATGCAGTTCCATAATTTTCGCAGCAGATCCCAGGATGTCATTTCGGAAAACTAAGAACTTCTTACGAGGCGTGCTGCCAGAACTTGATCGCCTGTCACTTGCTATCCCGGAATCGCTTTGAGATGGTTCATGAGATTGGCGATGCCATTGACCAAATGCAGCCAACCGAAAGTATTTACTCTTTGCCTCAAAACTAAATAAAAAGGGACATGAAGCCATTAATTTATTGCACCATGAAGGCATACCTCCAACGGATACAGCCATAGAGTCCCGCATCTGCTGTTCTAGTTTTTCTGTCAGCTTACTACTTACAAATTCAATCTGCGGCACCGACAACACTGCTACCTTTAAATTGTCCAAGTGATCAAGTTTTCCTTCAGCAAAAGCACCTATTCTGTCTTCAGATATCAGATGAAAAATAAACTTGTTCATCTTTTCCAAGCATTTTAGCAGATATAATATAACATGAGTAGGACTTGACTTCTCCATGTCAGAAGCAACCTCAGAAGCAAATATATCAGAGAAATTTGAAGTTTGCAGCAAATATTTCTCAATTCTATCTGACACGACAGACTTCAGAACTGAACAAGAACATTCTTTCAGGTTATCAGATTGATTTACAGCTTTTCTATATGTTAAGGTATATGCTTGACTCCACAACTTCGTGGTGGTAACGATTGCATGTTCTTTAATTTGTTTCTGCATAATTGCCTGGTATAGAGTCAATTCCCGGTTTAGCTGTTGCCCTTCCAGAAAAAATGACAATTTTGGCGAAGCATCTTCTTCACTGCTACAAGATGCAGGGAAGTCCCTTTTCATACTAGTATCCGCCTTTGGAGAAAATTGAAGTTCTTCATCTGTAGATCTATGGAATATTGCTTGAGGACTTGTCTCACTTAAAAAGAGTGCTTGTTCAGCTGCAGACTTTGACCAAACATCCTCACCCTCCTGGAGAGAAAATGTAATGGAATTATAGATGTGTCCTAACGTTGGCTTAAATAAAAAATCAGAAAACAAACTCTACAACTCTGCCACCCCACAAAAAAGTATAAAAGGGGGGGGGGGGGGGGGGGGAAGCAAACAAAAACAAAATAGAACAACAAACACACACACACACTGCGGAACCGGAAAAAGGAGAAAGAAAGTTCAGGAGGATAGAACAAAAACCAAAAAGGGTCTAGATAAAGACAACGAAAGATCAAAGTTGTTTTATAAAAATCAGTATTATCTTGAGTTAACTAACTAAAAGAGTAATACTTTGTCCCCCAACTCATACCTGCATCTCGGTCGATTCTGTCAACATGCTATCAGATCCTCTGCCATCTGGACTTCCATCTTGGCTAGAACTTGTACTTGCAGGTGATTGAAGAGGTAGCTTTTCTGATTGGCCCACAGCTTGCGTCACTGTTTTATTGTGCTTTGTTGCTTTTCTCTTGACTTTAGACCACAGAAATCTTTCAAGGGCCTCCATTGAAGAGAAGGAGTCCACACTCAGATAATCCTCACAGTAATCACGAAGGCATGTCTCCCCGTCACCTCTTTGAAAACGAACTCTTAAACATGGATACGGCGTGCAACGTATACTTGGAACGGTGGCACGTGAGTTCCTCATCTTGCCTGCATTACTCAAAATAACAGGGAAAGTTTCCAAAGAAGATAGTGCATTTTGCAATTTTTGTATGAGTGTTGATATGGGCAAGTCCTGGGACTCTGGATCTGATGAAGACAAAAATAACCTTGCAAACACTTCGAATCTTTTTCTGATGACACCGATGTTACTGTGTTCAGCACAACATTCCTTTTGTATTCTCAAATACTGGCCATCAGACAGATAATTAACCAATGACTTCACAATGCCACTTTCAATAAACTCAAACGTAGAGACAGTTTCCTTTCCATTAAGCTTCATGATAACTTGATGCAATAAACCATAGGCCTTCTCTTCACGCTGATCAAGGTCGTTATTATTCACAGAGGGTTCCATCAAATCACTTAATGCCATAGAAAAAGTTCTCAGCTCTTGAAGAACATCAGTTATTGCTTTGTTAGACTCGAATAGTTCTGATGAGAAGTAACTGTTTCTTATATGCTTTGCAAGATCGTAAAGAGAATCCTTTTCAAGCTTGCATCCATTTCTTTCAGACACTGAAGCTGAGGTACCAGAAGCAAAAGCATAACACAAGCACCCAAGGACCTCCCTGGAACTAGATTTTTGACTCGAATCAAACGAGAAGCCCGAAGATATTGGGACAATCAACTGTGAACATTTTTCTGGGGTTAACACTGGACACTTTTCCTGAATCAACAGAGCATCGATAGCAAATAAGACGCCTTCTTTTATAAAATATTTCAAGAAAACATCCGAAAGCTTTTGCAAGATTAATTCAGCTATCTGAAGGGCCAATATCAAAACATGCGGATCCTTTCTAGTAAATATACCAGCCAAGAAACTGCTACATAAAAACAGGAGCTTGTAAGCATTAGCTAAATGTTTAAAAATTTTCTAGTTTAAGGACAAGAGAACCTCAATCACCTTGAAATATTGGAATTCTTAAGCAATTCAAAAAGCATGTCGGATGTGCTCAAATGAATCAAGTTCTTGATTACAGAAAGGCAGCCATAGCAAATATATAAATTTGCACCCGAATTAACCACCTACATAGAAAGTGATTAGTACTATTAGAGAGGGGAAAAAAAAAGGAACAGGGATTAAGGCTTAGTTTGGTAGTGCTGTAGATTTTGGAAAAATTACTTTTAACTGTGCTGAAGGAAGAAGCAGTTGTTACAAAAAACAGCTAAGTATTTGGTAAACTATAATTATAATAGCTGTGCTGGTTCTAAAATCAACGTAATAGCGTTTGGTAAATTATGAGGTTGAATTGCTGTGGATAGTTAAAAATTACGACTATATTATATTATACTATAATATAATATATATAATTACAATATAATATATAGTTATTATTATATTTAATATAATACAAAAAAAACTATTATTATATAATATATTATATAATTATGATATAGAATATAATAATATTATTAAAATAATAACTAAAATAATTAAAAATTACGAT